CCCTCCAAGGATCTGTCCTGGGCTTTCCTACACCCCACTGCCCCTGCTGACGCGGCCCTGGCCTCCGTGTCACTACCCAGGAGGCAGCTGCATGCTCATCTGCCCCACCAAACCTCAAACTGAACAGGCCTAAAACTGACCTTATCATTCCCCAGCCAACTTCCTTCTGTGGTTTCAATGTTAATAAATGGCACTCCCGGTGGCTGAGTTACCCAAGCAACTCCTAGCTGCCTCCTCTTCCTACAGATAGAAACTTCATCCTGATTGGTGACCGGGTCTGGTCAATTCCACCTGTTCAATGTCTCTCACGTCCAGCTCTTGTCTTGCCCTGGTTCGAGGTGTGACCATCCCCTAACGGGACTATGGGAACATGCTTCCAACTCATCTTTCTCCCTCAGAAACTGGCCCTTTCAAAATCATTTGACATGCTGCAGCTACAATGCAAATCCAATCATCACTCCCCGCAGCTTGAACCCCTTCTATGGCGTCTACTGTTGCCTGCAGGACACTCCCAAACCCTTCAGTGAGACAGACCAGTACCTGCTGGTCCTGCCCGTGCTCCACAGCGGACCTGCCCGCTGCTCAGGCCCCGCCCCGGAGGTGTCCCGTCCCGGAGGTGTCCCGGAGGTGTGCTGCTCTTTCCCAGCTCGGGGCCTTTGTTTATTTGGGGACCTCTGCGCGGTGTGTTCTTCCCACCCTGTTTGCCAGGCAAACACATCCTCATTTAAGTGAAGGTGTTTTGCATATATTATCTAATTCGATCTGCACAACAACCCTTTGTGGTGGGTACTATTATTAGTCCCATTTTGCAGGAAGGAAATAGACTAAGAGGGATTAAGTAACTTCCTAAAGGTCACCATACACACTACAATGTGTCAAAGAGCAGGACTTGAACCCATGCCAAACTACTCTAAAGTCCATGTTCTCAGCCACCTGCCACCCTCCGCTCCAGAGTGGCACCGGAGACAGTAATCAGACATAGATTTACTGAAGGCTGACAACCCCTTGGAGAAGCAGAGGTACCTGCAGGGTTTCTAGCCCACAGCACCGGGCTCCTGCCCCAGCTCTGCACAGAGGAGGTCTTGTACGTAAATGCTGAACGAATGCGCCAAACGGGTTGTCAAGAGTGGGGGAGGGAGGAGGCTGGGGGCGGAGGGTCCCACGTCTTACACGTGGAGCCAGGGACGTGCCGGTGACACCGAAAACGAGAGCCCGCAGCCTGGGAGGCTGCCACTGCCTGTCTGGGAGTTGGCGACCACCAAACCACAAGGATGAAAGGGCTCTCCAAGAGAGAGGAAGGTTTTCGATGTGTTGGTAAGGAAACGTAATGCTGGTTTTATGTGTTTTCATTTCTTTCCAGGACACACTGGCCTGAGAATAACAGATGCCTGAGCCTTTGAAAGCTGTGTGCTCCACGCCAGCGAGACAGGAGGAGATGAGCAGAGCCGGAGGCCATCTTCCAGCCCCAGAGGCTGCCTGGCGGGAAACATCCTTTCCCTGCTCCAGAGACAGGCTGAGTGGAGGTTCCAGGGAAGCCCACTTCCTCCCGCAGAAGGGAGGGCAGATTCTCTGAAACCTTGTGCTGCCCGTCGAGGGACACCCTCCCTCAAGAAGGGAGACCCCCAGGCCTGGGGGGCCTGCGGAGGTACAAAGGGGCATGCCCTGAAGAGAGGAGCACCAGCCACCCCTGAGAACACTCCCGGTTGGAGGCTCTCCGCCTTAAAGCCCGAGTTTGACTGAGAGTTACCCAATAGTGTTCCAGAATTCTTCTTCCTCAGAACACAAGTCGTCCACACTGACAGACAGGAACACTATTCTGGAAGGTGCCCCGGCAGCATGTGTGGGTGGGCCCGGGCCTGGGGCCTGGAGGTGAGTGTTGGTGGCAGAGCTGGGGGAGGTGGGAGCCGGGTTATCTGGCCAAGTGACCAGCAACTGGTAGAGATGACAGAAGTGACAAGCAGATCCTTACCACAGCCCCTGACATCACCCCACAGAGCAACGAGCCACACATTGCTTGTCACTCGACCCTGGCCAGCTTCACAACAGGTGAACAGCAGCTGGCCTTTCTGACTGAAGGTGCCTTCCAAGGGCTCTGCTCTTCCAAGTGCTGGTGGTCCACACCCCTCAGGAAGCAGCCCCCCCCCCCCACCGGCTGCACATCACACCTCGATCGGAGAATTATAGAACTGGGGGGGCTCGTCCTGGCCAGCTCAACTCAGTTGGTTGGGTATCATCTCAGGAAACCAAAGGTCGCCAGTCCGATTCCCGGTCAGGGCACACGCCTGGCTTACAGGTTGGGGTGTGTGCAAGAGGCAACTGATCCGTGTTTCTCTCCCTTTCTTTCTCCCTACCTTTCCCTGTGCCTAAATAAAAAAATAATTTAAAAAAAAAGAATTGCTGGCTTAGGATCCCCAATTAACAGATAAGGAAACTCAGGTGAAATCCATAGAGCTAAGCAATGATCCAAACTGCTTTTGAAACCAAATATACTAAATCCAGCACCCTTTCATTCAAAACATGCACAGCAAACACCAGCTCTTTCCCGACACTTAGAGCCTTTGAAATGCAAAGATTAATGACATCATTGTCCCTGAGGCGGGATGGAACAAAAAAATGACAGTGTGATCCATACAAGGGGTGCAGGCATAGGAACAAGCTCTCCCCGCCCCCCACGAGCATCTGGGCCTGAACCGCTCCTGTTTCCCTCCGGCGGGAGAAGGCCTATCTACATGCAGAAAGAACTTCGCTGGAACGGTAAGAGACACAGAGGGAGCCAGACACTGGTGACTCCGCAGGTCGAGTAGGATCAAGGCAGGGCCGGGCTACAGTGGAGAGGACGCCCAGGCACCTGCCAGTACCAGGCGGCGTGACAGTGACCACCTGTGGGCCCAGCTTGTACATGAACGAGGCCCAGCTGGGAACAGTGTGGCAGAAAAGAAACTGAAGTTTTCATTTTGCGAAAGCCCACTGGGCACTCTCTGCTGTTACCACCTCTCAAGAGTTCAACAAGGTGGTCATGTGACAGCCACACTTCAGATGGGAAATTGGCCCAGGGAGGCTGTCACTGGCCCACAGTCATTCAGGCTGAAGTGTCCAAGCCAGGGTTCCAACCACTGATTCCACTTCATTTCTCCAAACCATGAGGCCGGGCCAAGGTAAGTGACTAAAACAGCATCTTCTATTGCCCAAAATTAGGACAAAGCAAAGATTAGCCATGAGCTGAGGATGAGACAAAGGGTGCCCAGCTGGGCGCTGGCCTGTCAGCAGCATGGCCCTGCCACCTGGCCAGAGAGCCAAGGTCACAGCTGCAGGTAGGCCAGGCCACGTGTGAGAACGAAAGCTGCAGGATCTGAGCTGGGAACAAGGCCCCGAGGGAGCTGGAGGCAGGGAAGTGCCAGCCCCCGAGCCCGGGAGTGCAGAGAGGAAGCAGCGAGGCTCAGAGGGCCCTAGTGCAAGCACCACGGCTGGGAATGCTCTTCTCCCCTCCTTCCAGCCTGCATGGTGGCTGGACTTTATGATTCTGCCATCTTCTCTGCACACAGGTCAGCGTGATCTGTAGCAAGACAGGCTCCTGACAGGTGAGGACACGGGGGCTGAGAGGGGCTGCGGGGCTCCCCGGTCTGTGACTGGTCTGGGAGGCCGAAACCTGGCCCAAGGCCTGGAGTGGCTCTGGGTCCCGTCTTAGTTCCTGCTCTCTGCCCACATTCCTGCCCCTTTCCTGGGCTGACTGGACAGTGGTCTATGTTGAAAGCCACATGCTTTGTCCAGTCCAGGCTCCGTGAGGGCATCCAGGACTGTCAAGCCTCAGAGCACATCTCTCTGAGCACCCACAGCCTCCAGAGACTCAACAGTCCCCGCCTTCTGGATCAGTGCCATCTGGTCGTCGGCAGACTGGAGCCCTGCCAAGATGGCCCGGAGCCACAGCAGCGCCCCAACACTCAGCAGGAAAGCCAGCCCACTCTCTAGCGGGAGCTGTGCACACCACGTCTGTCTATGCAGCCAATCCGCCCCAAAAACGATGAGTAACAAAAGATTACTCGGTTCGCCAAGCATTCTCTCACACGCCCCTCACTCCACCCTCACAACGACCAGTGAAATGTGGAATCAAACCCTCATATTCCAGATGAAAAAAGGTTCGCATGTTCCAGTCCAGAAAGGTCACAGGACGGGCCAGACACACTGTGAGAAGAGGTCATGGCTGAGGCCTGACTGCCGTGGTCCTGCCTCTGAGTCCTGGCCTTTGTCATGCTCTCGCCACTGCCCAGATGTGAATCTATCTGTGTTCCTCCAGCCAATGGACTAGGAGTGCATCCAGATTCACAAGTGTGAGAAAAAAACACCTTGATACCCGGGTCCCCAGCACAGCAGGGCAGCCTGGAGGGCCAGCGATGGAGGAAAACCCATCGCCAGGAGAAGATGCCACAGGCCTGCTCACTCCCGCCTGCCCTCTCCAGACCTGGCCCAGCCATCTCCCCTCCGTCAGCCAACCGGAAGTGCCCCCCAAAACACCCACCAGTATTTCCCTGGACGGTGTCCAGAGGCAGTACCGTCTACGTGACGTGGAAATACGAACTCCTGGTGGTGGTGGGGGCAGTGCATGTGTGCATGTGAGCATGCGCTCGTAGGAGGACACACATGCACAGAGGGTGCACGTGGGTCTATCTCACTGGGGTGTTTGTGGCTCCGGTTCAGAAAGGATCCAGTGAGGGAGAAAAGTCACAGCAATTCTTCGGGGCTCCCACAGTACCCCTAAACCGTAAAGCCACATTCGCCTCTGGATTCCCCCAATGAAGATAATGTCACAGTTGGTCCCAAGCCACAGGGCAGCCTCACCATGCCTCTCCCACGAGGCTCCAAACCCTTAGAAGAGCCACAATCTTGGACACCATCTTATGAAACCAACCGAGTAACTGCTTAGAAGGTGATTTGAAGGTGGGGACGGGCTCAGCCAGGCGAAAGAGAATGGTCACTGCATGAGAGCTAAGGGCCAGGACACCTACCTGGACTTCACGTGTGTGATAGGCGATGATCAAGCCCAAGAGGATGATGGTGGACAGACTGATAAGGCATTTCAGGGCCAACGAAAACATGGAATCCTGCAGGAGAAACGGAGAGTGAGAATTAGGGAGGGCCAGCAACGGGGCATCTCATTCTACTCTGAGGCCAAGTAACGGTGGCAGCCTGGGGGCAGAGGAGGGACTGTCACCAGAAAGTGCCTCAGGCTGGGCCCTGGGCTGATGCCATCCCAGCAGGGACTCCCCACCCAGCCTCCGTTCTCTCGGGTTAAATCATGTCTTCGTTTCTGGGATGAACTCTACTTGGGCGTGATATATTATGTTTGTTATACATGGCTAGATTCAGTTCGCTGATGCGCTGTTTAGAATTTTTGCCTCTCTGCTCATAAGTCATGCGAACACAATTCTTTGTTCGTCCTGCTATTAAATGGTTTGAGCATCAGCACTGTGCCAGTGCAGGCCTCTCTTTTCTCTTAACGATCTTAAACCAGAGGATGAGGTCCTTCTATCCTTGACCATGCAGAACTTTCTTAGGAATAAATTGGAATGTCCTGGCAGCTGCTCTCAATTCCTGTTTTAGGTCAAGGGTAGAGAGGGAAGCAAGGGGGACAGAGAGCAAGAGCTACCGAAGAGAGAAAGGGGCTGAGCACAGGAGCAAAGAAGAGTCCTGGGCAGGAGAAGGGTCCCGAGGGACCCTCCGAGGAGGGCAGGGGAAGCAGGTGGGCTGCTTGGCCAGCACTGCAGGCTTTCAGCCCCAGGGCAGCCTGAAGACCCACTCGGTTGGGAGCTCGAGCTCTGGGCCCAGCCCTGGGGTCCAAACCCTGACGTGGCACCTAGCTGTGTGACCTCCGCTGCTCACTCCGATGCCTCCGGTGCCACGTGGGGATAACCTTCCTCATGGGTCTGCTGTGGAAAATCAAGGGAAATTGGTGCATGTGAGTGCATGGCCCAGTGCCTGGCCACGTGAGGGTCAGCCACCACCGGCATCTGCTTTGCCTCCTCTACAAATTCAGGGCGACTTTGTGCCTTCCTGGGCGTTCGAAAGCCAACGAGTAGAGACTGCTCCCAACCCCACAGGAAGGCAGGAGCCCAGCTTTCAGCAAAGGTAGCAGACGAAAGGCAGGTGACCTGGGTGTCCTGGGAGATGGATGTCACATGAGAAATAACCCCTGGGCTCCCAGAGCTCAGTCATAATGGCACCCAATCTCAGTAAAGCACCTTGTAGTTTATGAGGTGCTTTCACACACCGGGTCTCATCCCTCCTCACAGCAGCCCTTGGCCCCGCTCCCCGCTTTATAGCATCATAGGCAAAGGCTCAGAGAGGGAAGTGGCTTGTGAAAGAGTTCAAAGCTAAGGCCTCTGAGTCCCAGACTGCAGCACTGCCCACGAGCCCTCAGGCCCACCCTCCAATGGGAAACAGAGTAGAAAAGTGAGAAGTGTCCATTACATAGACTCAGATGACAGCTTAGGACAATAATGGGAGGCATTTCAAAGGTGGGATGTGATTGACGGCCTGCCAAAATCTACAACAAAGCTGGGGTCGGGTTGGGGGGATCAAGAGAGGGAGATGTCACTGTCAAGAAAGCTTTCAGCCCTGGCCGGTGGCTCAGCTGGTCCAGCTGTCATCCCACACACCGAAAGGCTGCGGGTTTGATCCCCGATCAGGGCGCGTGCAGGAGGCAGCCCGCCAGCTTTTCTCTCAGGTCAGCAGGTCTCCCTCTCTCTCCCCGTCTCTGTCCCTCTCTCCCCCCTCCCTTCCTCTCTCTAAAATCAATAAAACATACCCTCAGGTAAAGATTAAACAAAAAAGAAAAAGTTTCGGAGACAGAGTGCCCCCAACCACCCTCTGCAGGCTGAGAGGGGACGGAGCAGCTGTCCCTAGCGTCTGCTGACCTACGTGTATCCACTGGATACAGTTCCTGGGCCCGCTTTATGCCAGGCCTGAGCTAGCACCGGGGATCTGAGGGCCAAGTACGGAAGTAGCTCATTCATTCGTTGTTTAATTCATTCACGACAATTCCAACCACTTCTCACTTCCTGCGCACCTACTACATGTCTGACAGTGTACTGAATGCTGTGAAATATTTGCAGAGAGCCCCTGCCCACCAGGAGCTTCCCACATGGCTTACACACCAACTCCAACTTTCCATACTGTGTGCTCGTCCCCTGTGGGGGAAGCTCTCCATTCTGTGCTGCCCGGACGGTGATCTACATGTAAGAGGCTTTCCTCCAGCCTCTGCCGTGGGCTGCAGTTTAATGGGGAGCAGCCTGCATTCATTTACTCGCACAAAGGCGCGGGGATGGGTGGTGTGGTGCTGCTCCAGTTGTGGGCACAGAGAGAAACTGGTCACGGTTCCGGGCCTCGCAGAGGTTCTGGCCTTCGAAAGAACTACTGGACGCCTGAAACGCGACCCAAATCACAGGCCTGGGTGGGGCGGAAAGAGCAGGCAGTGAGTCCGGGACACGCAGACCGTTGTAGGGGGAGACAAACCTCCTACAGGAACCAACTGAAAGCAGCTCACAGCGTCTGGGGGCCAGAAATGGCCGTAACGTTCCCCTCAGAGGGGTCTGCAGGCGTCTGGGGGGCATCGTGCCTCCCCCAGAAGGAGAGGCTGCACATTTCCACCTCTAATTTATTTCTTATGGCAGAAATGAACTGAATTCACTATCCAAGCCTATTTCCACCATTTTTAGAGGAAGAGGTGAAGGGACAGGGGCCAGAGGCTGTCTCCTCTCCTTTCGGCCTCTTCCTTTTGTTCTAGAACCCGGAGCCTCTGCATAAGAGGCAACTGCCACCAGCTTAGTGGTTCAGGCCGGTGCGCCGCCCGGCCAGTGCCAGCCCGTGGGGAGATGAGCTGTACCCGGAACCAGCAGGAGCACTCACCGCTTTACAGATCTCCTTGCTTCTCTCTCACATATCGATAAAAAATGAACTATCAACTATCAACCATTTTTAATAGCTGGAAAATATGTCAACAAATTCTGACTGGACTAGAAATGTTGTCTATTTGGTAAAATGTTTAATTATCATCTTTTCTTTGCTGCCTGGACTCCAATGAAGCTTGGAATCGATATGGTTCTTGGGTGATGACAGCAACTCAGAGCTGGCTAATTAACTGCCACACACCATGAGCTGGGGTGCCTGCCACACCCACCTGCTCTCCCCACTCACCCACCCGAGGGCCCATGGGATCCACTGGGCTGGAAGGAAGTCCTACGATCAACTGGTCAATCCTTCTGCCCTGCAACTCAGAACTTTTCAACAACAGAGTAATGATCCTTAACACACAGGAATGCTTAGGAATTACGTCCCAACAGATAAGAGTATTTTTTTGCCCCGGGTGGTGTGGTTCCATGGTCTGATTCCCAGTCAAGGCACATGCCTGGGTTGTGGGCCAGGTCTCCAGTAGGGGGCGTATGAGAGGCAACCAATCACACATAGATGTTTCTCTCCCTCCTTTCTCCTTCCTTTCCCCTCTCTCTAAAAGTAAATAAAATATTTTTTAAAATAAGAGTTGTTTTTAAGCCATTTATTCATAAATGCCCCAAAATACTGGGGTGGCTGAGTAAACCTGAGAACAGCCAGCAATGCAACACTGTGTGGTCACTTAACACCATTTCTATGCAGAGTATCTGACAACAGGAGGAAAGGTTCAGGATGTACCGTATTTTTGGACCATAAGACACACCTAGGTTTTAAAGGAGGAAAATAGAAAAAAAATTTTGAAGCAAAAAAAAATGTGGTAAAATATTTAATAACATAAATAATATTTCACCAATGTAAATGTAAGCAGAACTCAACAGCAGCATTAACAACTACTATTCCTCCCAAATTTGGGGGGGGGTGGATCTTATAGTCTAAAAATACAGTAATATCAAGTGAAAAACCCAGCCTCCAAAACTGTACATGGTACATTTCCAATTATGTTTAAATTTGCTACTTTTTAATGTAAAAAACGGAAAATACAGAACCATGCTATGAAGCGGCAGGCAGGACACACCACGCGCACCCCGAGTTCGCACACACCTCCCAGGGGGAGACGGGGGGGGGGCTCAGGAAGCACTGCGTCGACGCCGGGCCCTCTCAAACACTCTGAGCACAATAGGTGCTTAATAAGCACTTCCCGAAACTACTTAGCAATAGTACTTTTACTTTTACCCAACATTTTTTGAGAACTGACTGTGTCCCAGGTCTCAGACTAGGCCTGCACACAATTTAACTCACATTGGTACCCTGCAGATGAGGTAACAATGTCTCCATTTTACTAATAAGGAAACTCAGGATCAGAGAGGTAAAGTAGCTTTTCCAGGATCACACATTAGCCCAGGTTTTAGCTGTATGCCAGATTTGTTTATCCCCTTCCTCCCCTTCCTGCAAGCAAACAAGGCTTCCCCATGCAATGGGGGTGCCTCTCTTTCTAGCGGAGGCTGGCTGCAGCCATGGGGTACCACAGAGTCGGAGAGTGACTGACTCACAGGACACCCACGCCCACATGGTCTCTGTCCAGTTCCGGGCCCTCAGCCCGCCCTCCGCAGGTCTGTGATTCCTCATTGACGACGCCTGCAGTAAAGCGCAGGGCCCGCAGGCAAGGAGGGCATCGCCAGCCTGCTTTCACAGGGGAGGAAACACAGGCCTTGAGAAATTACTTCATTTGCCCAAGGATGTGCCAACAAACGGCAAAGTCAGGACTGAAGAAACTGGGATTTACTCCAGACCTGCCCGCCGGGTCCCCCACCCGCCCCAAGGCCAGGCCTGTGCCTGCGGTGTCTGCAGGGAGACCCCCAGACCGCTCCAGGCCTTCCTCCCCCACGCTCTGCAGTGTGATGGGGTGCGCTCCCAGTTTCTGAGCCAGCCACGTAAACTGCTCTCCTGCCTGCCCTTGGCTTCCAAAGACAGGCCGGAATTGTAATGATCACACCAGATCTTCCCAGAAACACTGAAGTTCTAAGTGTGTTTCCCTGTTTGGAACATTTGAAAGGAACAGAAAACTGTGCTTACAGGCAGAGTCCTGGAGGCACCTGGGCAGAAGTGAAATACCAGCTTCACTGAGGTAAACATGTGCAGGTGCCTTCCCCAGCCA